TTGTGGCAGTGTTTATTTGTAGCTAAGCAAAATGGCTTGTTTAATTGAAAATGGCACGCGATTCAATTGTCCACATAAGAAGAAGAAGAAGAAGAAGATATACCAAATAATGCAAAATGTATGACACTGAGTTATAGTAGAAATTGCATGTGAAAGTATTTCTGTTTTTAATTCAGAAACACATCAACTATTTAAATTATATACCTAACAAATGACAGTTATTTACACTAAGTCCAGTCTATTACAAAAAAGGTTTATTTTTTAAATATATATAAAAAAAAATTATAAACTCAATAATGCAGTTTAGGTATCAATTTAAATAGTGCAGAACTCCAATATCAGAATTATGAATACAATAAATATATATACTGATAGATTTCCATTTAATATATAAATAGATATTTTTAACACCAAAAAGTTTTTATAGATATTTTGTACAGAAATTTGTAGTCATATATTTTTTTCACTTATATACATATAATATTTAATCATATTTTCGCGTTTTTAGCGGTATTAGACTTTTGTGTTTGTGTTTTTGTGTTCGATATATTTGAATATAACACTAAATGTATGCATCAGTAAAGTGAAGAGCTTTACTTCGTAAATAATATAATTGAAATTGAGTTGGGAAACTAATATGCAGAGTGGCATTCTCAATGCACGACAAAATAGTTTTAGTAAATAATATTACTTTTTTACAAGACAATATAATTAACATTTATATTAGCTGAATAATTATGAATTGAATAAAAACTAATAAAAAGTAGTTAATATCAAAACCTGTCTTAATAATTTCTTTTTTTAATTTAAAATAAATATAGTATTCTCTTCCAATTTTTGAAATGTTCAAAAATTAGGGGAAATGAAAACCAACAACAAAAATTTCAATAAATTAATAAAAATTTTGTTGTTGTCTTCTTATTTCTATTTGAACCCTTTTAACTTTTAAATAGTTTTTTTTTCGTCATAAGACACGTCACACTCGGCAAGAAAAAATTAACATTAAAAACCTATTTTTTTTTATTGAAGCTATAATAATAATAACATTAATACATTCTAATACTAGTCATATCTGTCAAACGAACTGTTTATATAGAGCAATTAAAAAATTCCTTATAAAATGATGTTATTAATATGGCTAATACTAGCCAAATCTGACCAACAGACTGTTTATATAGAACAATTAAAAAATTCCTTATATGTTACTTAAGAATATTTTTGAGTTTGTTCGAAATGTTCGAAAAGTTTAATGCATCGCAATTGTGGTTCAAGTCCTCTTATATCAAGCTTCTTATTGACTTCTTCATACTGCCGATTTTTTTATTTTTGTGGACACATTTGCAAAAGTCACTGTTTCACAAGAAAAAAAAACTTTCATGTTAAAATAGCTAATACAGCTTTTCTGATAAATTAATATTAACTTAATTTACATTATGTAAAACAATATAAATTTTAATTGAAGAATTTAAAAGCCTAACTCTACATATTGCGTTTTCTGAAACATGTAAAACAATAGATTACTACACAATACATTATAATAATATATAATAATATCATTAAATATTTTGGAAATACTATTATAAAAATCTTGAAAATTGTGTATATCACAAATCATTATGGATAATTTTGACTTTAATTTACAAATGGACTGCAATTCTATGTCAAGAAAATTGTTATTGTATGTTTTTGCATTAGGTTATATAAGAACTTCCATCTGATGTTAAATGCTTTAAAAGTCTTTCCATTCCGTACAGTAATCTCTCTACAACGAATTTTATTTAAGCGTCTGCGTCTGTAGTTATTGTTTTTTAAGTTGTTGTAAAGTGTGACTCTGTATATGACCAAGTACAAATGTAACTAAATATCAAGTTCGCTTAGAACTTATTTGTAAATTTCTGATTTTTAATGTTATTAATTAATTCAAAAATTAAAAATATAGAAGTACGCGTACTGAACTTTTAATTAATTAATTAATAATTTATTAATTATATTAATCTGATATATTTCATATTATTTCAAAGTATTTTTTTCATATTATCTTTTTTTTGTTTCTTATATATATATATATATATATACATTAAGACTGAAAAGTTTTCGGAAATTCTCATTTAAAATTCGCGCGCTGTATATTTTTCGATATTTTAAGTTTATGTAGTTTGGCAGCACTGTCCTTAATTACTATGCCAAAAATGAGCTCGATCTGTCAGACAGTTCGTTTACGGCAGCTGTTGAAACCAGTTCACCTCAGTAGTGCGTTGCGAAATGTCTTCGACGGTCGTACGACCGTCCTGGAAGGCTTTGTACCACTCATAAACTTGAGTTTTCGATAAAACTGATTCCCCATAAGCCTTTTGTAGCATTCGCAACGATTCTGCACACGAAATTTCGTTCGAAACACAAAATTTGATGCAAACTCTTTGTTCAATATTTTTTTCCATTGTTTTTTTCGCAACGCCCTACTGAGGTGAACTGGTTTCAACAGCTGCCGTAAACGAACTGTCTGACAGATCGCGCTCATTTTTGGCATAGTAATTAAGGACAGTGCTGCCAAACTACATAAACTTAAAATATCGGAAAATATACAGCGCGCGAATTTTAAATGAGAATTTCCGAAAACTTTTCGGTCTTAATGTATATATACATATTGTTTCTTTTATAATTTTTATAGATATATTTTTAAAATTAATAAAAATAAAATTATAAAAATAAGGCACATATATTAATTAATCTATTATAATAGCATTTATGTTGTTGAGTTTTCTTTTCGTCAATATGAAGTGATCGGCAAATACTCACTTTTTATAAGAAGCTTTTCCCCATAACTGTGCACACTACGCCCATATGTGGTAAGCTAAATAGAAAATCGTAATAACATAAAAAAAATAATTGATTTAAAATTGGAAAACAAAAAAACGTGGTGCGTAAAAATCACAAAAATCATAATCATTTTAATTATTTTATAATATGTTTTTATATGCTTCAAACATTTGCTTTGAGAAGTATATTTAGACTGATGAGATATTTGAAGAAATGCATATATTGTATTATATATATATTTTAAATCCATTTGACAAAACATATAGATTTAGCTATTTATCCATCTCTACGTCTGCTACACTGCAAACTGATTCTTTAGATTTCAAACTAGATAAGTAAAAAGGTAACCATTTGAAGATTTCTTGGGGAATATGGTATATCTGAGTCAACTCCATTATCCTACATTAATCATTGCATATTAATATGCAATATTTTAATGAAATTTGAGTGCTATACATATGCTTCAAATTTGATGTGTATTTATATATTTCATTTTAATCGGTTTAGATCTGAATTTAATTAGTATGGAAAAATTGATTAGATACATATTTTCAAATGAACTACTTTATTATTTATTACAACGAACTGTCGAAAGGAAAAGGGTAGAACGGCTGTTTGGTTTGAAACCATATAACCAAATTCAAAAAATCCTTAATAGCTATTGCAATTGACTTTAAATTGTAAATAAAATTAAGAAGGGAGTGTTTAAGTTTACATAACTCTAATCATCTTACAAATATATCAAATAATCACTTTCTTTTACATAGTTATCTTATAATCAAAACAAAGTATATTAAAATTTGACACCTTTATTGCATAGTTCTTAATAAATGTGTGTAAGAGATATTTAAGTATAAGTATAGGAATATAACAACCGCATGGTCTCAGTATTCTAATATTATAAGCATTGTTAAATAATTCTCAATGAATCTGTGTATTAATGCAATATAAAATCTAATACTAATTTTTTTACTTTTATTTAAATGACAGTATAAAAAGGATATTACAGTGTATGAGGAAAAAAGAAATTATCTCAAATTATAATTAAAAAAAAAATCAGATATAGATGCTTCAAAGATATTTTATTGTAATAATGTATCAGAATAGCATTATAAAGAATTACCAGATGCAAATATATTATATAATACAGTATGAGAATATTTTTATTATCAAAATGAGTAAACTTACTATGTAATAGTATCAGAGCAACAAGAATAACATCCATTTTTTACTTTTTTTATTGAGCTTAGTTAATATAATCAAAATCTTAAATGCTTTCCTTTTATTTCGCATTTGTCAACAAATTTTTGTATAAGTATTTGCAGTGCTTTTAGTTGCTTTACTAAAAAACCAAATATTCCTAACTTTAAATGTAGCGCATCATAAAACTTAGCTTGCCTGCTTCCGTCATCCAAGCCGTAGTTCAGCTTTCAATTAAATGGAAACTGAGTACAAAAAAGCACATCATTCGTAACTGTGAAGAACACTTTTCATTTTGTAATTGGCCACAAGTGTTACTGGTTCGGGCGCGAGCATTTCTAACTTTATTCTTAACATAATTTATTATCCTACATATTAAATTAAATATTGTATTAATTTGTCGATTTATAAAAAAATTGTGTATGCTTGATGATAAATCTCGGAGTACAGAAAATCTACGTAAAAAACTTACTAATACCAAGAATAGAGACTAACTTAAACAAAACTATTAACTTAGTAGTTGACGAAAATACGAATTCAAAATTCTTAAATATTTAAATTAATCATTAAATAATAAAATAAATAATAACAGTAATAAAATATTATTGTTATATTCGCGATAATACATATTTTATTGCTTAATTTAAAAAGAAGTGGCATATCCTTGAATCTGTCAGTTGATTGTGAATTATTACTTAGAAATGCCATATCAGCTTGAAAGCTCTTTAAAAAATTACAAATCTATTATATAAAAATTGGTTATAATAATAATTATAATTATATATGTGATATAATGTGCATTTCAAATTCTATATAATATATTATTTACATTTGTTAAAATAATTTTTATAATTAAATGTATAAGTTTTTAGAATTTCAGTGAATATAAGTGGAGATATGTGATATATGCATTAAAAAATTGATTCAAGTGAAGTTAAATAATAAATCTAATAAATAATAAAATAAATTATGAAATTCCCAAATCGAAGTAGAATGAGATGAGTTCTGGTTTTAATCTTAATTTTTTATAATTCCCCTCCATTGTGTCCTTATCATAATGTTTGATAAATACTCAAACTTTTTCTTATCAATCAGTTTGGGATTTGCATTGATGTGGTAAGTACATAATAATAAAAAAAAATAAATATTTAAAAAAAAATTGTACCTAAAAATTAATAATATATTAATTATATTATATTATAAATAAATTATATATTTTTTTTCTATTATTGAGATTTTATATAGTTTATATAGTTTATTTGACAATACTCGAAACGCTGTATGGTCGCTAAAAATTCAATTAATTAAAATAATATAAAATGAATTTTTGTTGTTGTAGTTCACTACACTGTTCGAAAAACCTCTCATAGTTTAAAAATATATATTGAATTAAATAAGTAATAGATACAATTTGATAAATCAGTTTAAGAATCAACATATAGTAAAATTTTAATTCTATATTAATGTAATAGATTTTGGTTTTCATAAAGTTAAACTCAAATCACTTAAGCATTAAAGTTCTAGATAACAGATAACAACTTCGTAACTTTCTTAACTGAACAGTCCTTGAGCAACATATTTGTTTTCGTAAATCGTAAATATAATTTTCTAATAACAATTCCCTTATTACGGATAGTTCACTTGAGCCGGTGTCAATCAGCAGCTCTGCACTATTTTATGGATTAACCTGTTAGTGTGTCTATAATGTCAATTTTATGGAAATGTGAGGTGATTTTAATATTTTTATGAGTCTAATTAGTTTGTTAGTGTGCAAAGATCCAAATTCAACAAAAAAATGTATACTGATATATATACTGATATAAAAACTGAGCGGTGTAATTAAATTATTTGATGGTAATTTGATGATAATCAAGTTTAATTACGATTTGATTTGTTTAAATAAAAGTTACTAAATAGGAGTATATTTTTAAAGATTTATAGTTGGAAATATTAATACATACCTTTTGTTTACTTTTTTTTTAAATAATTTAAGTAAAACTTCATTAATTCTTAATTACACTAATCTCCCATGATCATGGTTTACATGTATGTGTTATGTTATATTTATATGTCATATTACAAATCAACAATACAGATATTTATATTTTTATATACTTTTCAGTAAAAATTAAAACTACTATCCAAAATGTCTTTTTATCCGACCAAGAAGAAACATCGCAGTTACAAAAATTATTGGTTTTTCTATTGACATAAAAAAGTAATTACCAATTGCAATATATAAGATGTATATTAGGACAAATGACATACTCAGGAACATCAAGATTGATCCCATCAAAAAATACATAAAGGATAGAGCCCTGAAATTATTTGCGCAATCTGACAGACTTACTAACACCGCGTTACCAAATCTGAAAATGGTTACAGGCTCCTCGGGAAGGTATGCAGATCTGAGGTCAATTATTGCTTAGTCTGATGAAGTGATAAACAATAATCTAGTCAAGGTGTAGAGAGGGGTTTTGTAGAAACCTCGAGTTAAAAAAGAGTATAAGTACTTAAGTGCACTAACTCAAAACAGTTTCAACATAATTATAATAATATAATTCAAAATAGAATCTTTGACTTACATATTTGTAATATTGCATTTGAAACCCCTTTTGTAATCACTCAATATTGAGAGAGAGTGATATTTTAATCTTATTACACGTTCTTTTTGATTGATGTCAATTTTTATCAGTTATGCTATTTACGAGTTTTGGACATAATTTTTTATTAATTAGAATGCCAACTGTCAATAATAATCTTGTTGGTACCCTATTCTGGACTCCTTATTCATTGTAATTCTGCTAGAGATATCTATATTGACACTTTATTTTAAAAGCTATTGTTATGTAAATGTTTTCGGAAAAATCTCAACAAATTCAATCGCGTGCAGTATATAAGAAAATTCATCAGTAAAAATAGAAAGCCATACGCCAATCAGTCTAATAAAAATTAATACTGGATTAATTTAAGCGCTAGCATAGTGCAATAACATGTTACACTCGATAATGCTTACTGGATTAAAAACCTTTTAATTAATTGATAATTTGTTTGTTATATAATGATAATGGATTCTTTTTATAATAAGTGTACATTTATTATTTGTGTAATTTCTGAAAGATAATAGATGACATCTGGTATTTTTTGTTATAATGCAAACTAGAACGTCGTATATGTGCTTTGCATTCGAGAAATCACAATTTGAAAACGTCAAAAAGTCCGGGCTTAATATTATTGTGTCGACAGTAATTCTACTGCTATCTATAAATTGCACTCTGCTCTTATAAAGATATTTTTTTCCTATTATTTTATTGTTACTACATTTGCAGTGACACTGCATTTATTCAAAAGAAGCTTAATCAAGTTTTTAACTGATTCATGCAATCCTCCATTAACTATGTAGAAACGTTACTTATTGTGTTTGCAGCTACATGACTGCCTGAAGTTACTGTGTATCATAAATAGTCATTAAATATTTTCAAACTTATGATAGAATATTAGATACTGTTGTTAATGATGTTGAGATTACACTATAACCAATGCAACATATCTTTAAAATCAATAATGTGTTAAACTGAAAACAATAGTGCGATTCGCGGTCGTCTTAAAACATAACAATCACTTATATTTTAAATATGTTTGTTTTAGTAAATAATATTTGCTTGTAATTATATGAGTCCCAACTAAACCTTTGGAATAACAACTGACAGCGGTGCAGGAGCTGGTATTGAAAAAAGAATCAAAAAAGCAAAAAATGCTTTGCCAATCTTGCTCGCGTATGGAAAACAGCATCAAATCAACTAGAATCAAAGATAAAAATATTCAGTTCTGCTATATCGGAACGAAACTTGGCATACCACTTCTTCGATTCTATAAAATCGCTTTGTCAATCGCTACCTAAGAAGAATAGTAGGAATCTGCTGGCCAAGAATAATCACAAATGAACGATTGTGGTGTATCACAAATCAGACGGAGATCAGCAAAGAAATAATTAAGCGCAAATACGGTTGACTAGGCCATACTCTACGTAAAGACAGATCGGCAATTTCACACGCTGCACTTGAATGGAACCCTCAAAGTAAAAGAAGTGTAGGAAGCGCTAGAACGACGTGGAGACGTACTATTGTACGGAAAACATCTAAATCGATTAACGAATTACGATAAATAGCCAGAAATAGAGGAAATTGAAAATTAATAAATAGGCTAAGTTCTTAATTATTGTAATTAATAACATGCCAAAAATAAAAAAATAATAAAATAATATGAGTCACAAAATTGCTAAGCTTTATCTTCATAATTAACACATAGTACATAAAGGCCCTAAATATGCTTAATGGGTTAACATTTGAACTATAATATGTTTACTGTCATTTTTTATATTGTTATAGGATATATTAATATTATTTATGCAATATATTTTTTGTATTATAAGTATATAAATTACACACAAATAGCAAAAAATAAGTTTTTATATATTTATTATTATTTATACTACTAAAGATTATTACATATGTTTAAAGTTATAAAACAAAAACAAATTTACCTACACAATTATTTATTAAATAAATTTAAACGCTCAACGTTCGCGGATTGTTTGTCCGCTTCTTCAGGAGCAAATTGATTCTAATTAGACTAAAGTTTGTGTAAATAAATAAACTAACATACTTGTATAAATTCTTATAAGAATGAGAAAGCTTCCAAACGTAAGTTCTCTTCAAATGGAATTTGTAGTTTTTTGAGTTGTCAAATTGCAAGAGTGCAATATTTACTTATATATATTTATTCCATTTACTTTTAATTCTTAATATTTAAAATTTTTTTTATATATTTATAATACAAAAAACTTTTCATTTTTTGCAGGGAATGCGCAGAGGCTTATGTTAATTACACGGCAAAGCCGCGTGTAGTCCTTCCACCAGATTATGTCAAGGGTAAATTATTTTTAATGTTAAATTATTAATTCTTTAGATTAAAATTTGTTTATAAATTTTAAAACAATTTTTTGTTTTTAAATACGATATAAATATTATTCCGGACGCTTTTATTTTACTTACTCAAAAATTAATATTTCCGAAATCACGATATGCCGCTGAAATACGCGACATGTTCACACGATATTCATGTGTAAATTTTTACTTTTTTAATATTTGTTCTCGATTTTAATTGTTAACTTTCCCCCCTCTTTATAAGTTTTTTATTACTTTCCTTTTTTGATTATAATAACTTTTAGTTAGTGAATTGCGTGACATCTCCGCCATCTCAGTAAATCGGCATTAGTACTCGTAGTACTGTTCTGTGCCAAAATGACAAACAAAGCATTGTGAGCCATGTCACTCTTTTAGAAACTTTTTTATGTTATGATATTGAATTAATTATGACTTAGCACATGTTTTTTTTATAATTATAATTTAAATAAATTACTTATTATGAACAAAATACAAAATCAATATTTTTCTCATTATTTTATTAATTCGCTTATTGGCTTATAGTATAAGTGTGACGTAGATGCAATTGGTTTCTCATGTTAACTTCACAAAATTGTTCACTTGGTGTGCTTAATGCAAAATTGAATGCCCACTTCATGGCATCATACCGTATTTATTGTTATTTTAATCTGGCATAATATTTTTCAAAACCTGATGCACCAGATTAACAAAAATGCGAAATGCAATAATAATAATAATATGGCCACACACCCTAGTGTTGCTATAGAAAAATATAGAATGGAATATAATGATAAGGACAGGATAAGATGTAGAAAGTAGTTCTGCAGAATATGAATCTGTCACAATGGAGATGAGGTACAAATGGGTGGGCTTAAATTTGTAAGTGCAATGCGATAGTATGCATACGTGAAATTTATGTAGTGTGGAACTACATGTTGGGTACGTACCAAGTATATACGCGTTTAATAACTTTTTAATATGTTTTTATATCCAAACCTGAGTAGAGCCAGAAAAAATGTAAAACCATTTACAATAGTTTTTGTTTCGGAGAACTCAAAGTGGTGATCTGCTGACAGCGGGTTAGCATTAAAATCATTTTCAGCATTTAATAACTTTTTAATATATTTTTATATGCGAATCTGAGTACAGCCAGAAAAAATTTGAAATCATTTACGTTAGCTTTTGTTTCGGAGAACTTAAAGTGGAGATCTGTTGACAAATGGTTAGCATTAAAATCAATTTCAGTTCCTCAAGCATACATTTGATATTTCTCCAATTAATCTCAAAACTGGTTACATGTCAAAAGAATGCTACTAACGAAAAATTTCAAATTTTGTACTTAGTTTCATATCATGTCAAAGGCAAGAAATGCATTTAGTGCATTTTCAGATAACGTGTTCAGATGATTCAATATCTATTTCACGAAAATTGCAAATTCTGATCTCTAAAATGCTTATTGTGTTGAGACTGAGACACCAGTCTGAATAGGTCCTATCAGAAACTTAATAAAATCAATCTAATTCAAATAAACAAAAAGTCTGTTTGAAACTGTCTTGCGTGGTTAATAAATTTCTTAGCATTTTCAAGACATCTAGTAGTTTTTAAATTGAGATTTCTCTCAGTATCTGCATTTTGCCATTATATGCCATCTGACCAGAGTACAGAATGGATTGGGTCCAATCAATTGATCCAATTCTTCGTTATGCGGGATATTCAGTTCCTTCGTTTGTTTGTGCACTTCATATCTCAAAAAGTCACGCGGCTACTGTAACTGAGTCCATTCTGCACGATAGGCAGTTGCAAAGCATTCCCTAAAAAATTTTGACAGAGTTTAACGATAGTAAGACTTCTTGATCAAAAAATTGTCCCGCCATAGGTAATTGCTGATAATTCCAGCTTCCAGATTAAAGCCTATATCTATTATCCGTCTACACTATTGATCAATGATATATCTATAGTACATATTATAAATGCAATTTATAATAGTATTATTTTTTTAAACTTATTTCTATCAACTATACGTTAAAAAAATATTTTGTCTGATATCTGAATAGATGTTTGACTGATAAAAATAATATTCCAAATTTAAGTGAAGTCTATTGTCGAAAATATTCTCTTATTGATGCCATATGAAAGATGTACATGAAACTTTTACCAAAAATACACTTATATCTTTTAAGTATTATAACCTAGCAATTTTTTCCGTCTACTGACAGACATTTACTTCTTTTGTTTTATTTAATAAAATACTATATTAAATAGCCTTAAAGTTTTATTGAAAGTTTGATTTTGTATGTAAGTCAGTAAATACAATAATATATTATTCCATACGACCTTCACACTAACATTAGAATGTCCTTTTTTTGAAAAATGGCCTACGTAATAGAACAAAAAAAAATATTGTATGTTTTACTTAAGTATTTCGAATTAAATACTTTTGTTTTTCTTTATTTGGTTTAGAATATGCAAATAAGAAGGTGGTGAGTTCTATTCAAATTTTCACATATTCAAATTACAAAACACCTTTAAGTGTTCGTGCCCATGTCCATTATCAGCAAATCAGAAATTGTTCAGGTTTTGTTTACGAAATACTTCATTTCATTGAAAAATTACCAAGTTCGAGGACATTCAAACTTTGCTGATTTCTCTCTTTAGAAATCGATAATATTGTACATATATATTGTAAAGTCATTAGCAGTCACTTTTTATTATATATTATATTTTACCTTAATAAAGATATCTAAAATTATTATCCGAATCACTTTAATGCATTAATTGACACTTATTGTTTATTTGGTAATTATATCTTAAAACTGATATAGTTTTAATATAGAATTTCAATTTCTTCAAAAAAAAATTATATACCAATAAAGCATTACCTTATTTATCATCTTAATACAATTTCACAAATAAACTTTTTAGCTTCTTAGTATTTTATTAAGATATATCCTTAGAAATAGAAATATTTCGGATGACCTCCTTTGAACTCAGTGTTTTAATCGACTTCCTTCACATTAAAACTCCTTTCCATATGCTTTCCGCATTTATCATAGTATGGGTATTTTGTCTTACAATATATCATTCCAAACGCGTATGATGTACGCTTATGTGAGCTATTGTGCCAGACCCTGTTAATTATTCTTGATAATATGATATGCAATTATTCTATACAGTTTCAATTCATACGCATAATAATCTTTACCTTGTCCATAAGACATTAGTGATATTATTTTGCATTTGTAGATAGAATAGTATCCAAATAGTAATTCTCAATAATATACCTTGTAATTATTCCGAATTGTATCTGTGCAGTTCAGCAATTAGATCTATATCATATGACTTTTTAAGTTTACAAGCTTTCGGCCTTTTCAAAAGGTCTATTTAATGTATATTTCATTGTTAGTATTGTTTTATTCTGAACTTTGATAAAAAATGTGAGAAGTATTTCTTGGTTGTCGATTTTTAACTAATATCCATTAAATAATGGAAGTGGATGTAGTTAAAATTTGAAATTGTACACTACTTGCAAGATGCAATATTTGAATGAATGTTAAGGATCGGATCAGTTGCCTGCAGGCGACTTAACTTTAAAAATACGTTGAACTACTGCATTGTGTTCGTACCGCTACCGTACATCCTAAATTCTTACAAATGACATAAGATATTAATTTTAAACATTGTCTAGATTGATTTACTATTTATATATGTTTGTCAACATTTTTACTTACTTTTAAAGTTTACAGGAATGCTGTTTATTGTAAATTGTTTAGTTTTTTGTTGACAATGGATAATTATTTTTTGTCCGTGATAAGTGGTTTAATTATATATTTATAACTTATCAAACTCTCTCAGATAACTTGAACAATACCAATATATAATATTTAGTCTATACATAAGAAAGAACAAATCATGCAACAAATAATGCCTCTACGAATAGAATAGTTTTGAAATTTAACAATTAAAAATAAAAAAAAATATATAATTAATTAATTAATTCAATTATTCTACAGCTGGTTTATGGTTTCGTTCTAATATATAAATACAGCAAGTAAAATTGTTAATAAAAACTTTCATAGCAAAAGTAACAAAACTCCAGCAAAATATGCGAACATAAAAAGTCAAGTACGGCTTTGGATCACTTGGTTAAGGTGCGCTGATTCTGAGCTTCATATTTGGCAGGACACGAGTTCGATTCCTGGTACTTTGCAGTCTCAAAAATAATTATTTACGAATAATTAAATATAAGAATTATTTCCAAGACCACTGATGAAGGGTATTTGGCAATACTCGAAACAGCTGTATGGTCAGCCAAAAATTCAATTAATTAAAATAATTTTAAAAAAAAAATTGTTTATTGTTGTTTCACTTCTGTTCGAAAACCTCTTTATATTTAGTTTATCCAATTACGATTTTTAAGCTAAATAAATAGCATAAATAGCTGAAATGGTTTTAATGCGACAAGTTACCCAGTACTTAAAAGTGGTTTTCTTTTTTTTTTTTGTGTCTCTTCCTAGTGGAACTTCAGCATTATCTCTTTTTTGTTTTTCACTTTTGATTCTCACTTTATGACAACGATACAGTTTAGACAGACAATGATTATTTTCAGTTATCGCTGTCGTTTCAACAATATTTATCGCTGTCGTTTCACCGATAATTACCGCTGTCGTTTCAGTATCAGTGAAGGGTACTGAAACGACCCTTCACGAAATATGCCCGAGGTAAAGCATGTCCGTCATAACAGAAGACTTAGATCCCGGCGCTATTCCGATACTATTTGAAGTGTGAATGGTAGTAAATGAGGTTCACTTGTGAATCTGGTACCACGGGGATCGGTACCCGCAGCTTTGACTATTCTGACCAATTAACGTTGGCAGTATCGTGGTGACTGTGGTTAATGTCCAAACTTACTTGGGAAGAATGATTGTATTTTATTCAGCGTGGAGTTGCATATTCACACCGGGTGCTGAGACCCAAAAATCAGCAGAGGTTGAATGGACCTACCCGCTTACCAAAGGGGGAGTTATATCAAACATAATTTCATGACTTCATTTAGTACTTCAATTCCAAGAAATTTCTAAAGGGGCGTTTATTGACGCATTATCTTGACACATGTTTTCTTGAACACCGTGATTTCAGGTCTCCGCGACATAAAATTCCACACTAAATAACAGCAATGACTGTCACTTCTAGCATAGGTAATACTTTAAAGTATTATACGCCGTGAAAAATTTAATTATATTTACCATTTTATTTAAATTGATTTAAAATAATAATTATTTCTCAATAAATGTATTGAGATGTAAATCTAATAAATTTTTATATTAATTTAAAATATTTTGGTTTTTCTTTAAGAAATACGACCGCCTTCGAAACGAGGATCACCAGTGATAGTAGATTTTAGTATATTTGTTGTAGATATTAATTCAATTAATGTGGAGGATATGGACTTCAGGTAAGTGAACATATATACAATTTTAGGAGAGATAATTTTCTGCAAGTGTTATGTTTATTATATGTGCATGAAACAGAGTAGATATGTTCATACATCAGCGTTGGCTAGAATCGAGATTGGAAATTTCGGATGATATATTTGAAGAAGGAGATGATTATGTAACGTTACTTCCAGAATTTTTTGATAATTTATGGCAACCAGATCCTTACTTCCTGAATTCTAAAATAGCCGGTAAGTGCAAAATAAATTAGTTAAAAATTTTATTTATTTCATTAAAGCTTTTGGAATTTTAATATATCAAAAGTAGATTAAAGAATTTTTTTTCATAATCCATATTTCTATATTCAAGTAGATAACACATTTTGCTTTTTTATGTTAACGATTCCAATATTGAAAATCTCTTCCATTAAAGAGATACACATTGTTACTTCATTCGTAAACTCATCAATAGAAAATATGTTGTAGTGATCGTAATTTATGATTTTACTAACTCTTCATTTGTAATTAATACGTTATATCGAATATTTGCTTGTAATCTTACCTCCAACTAACTTCAAACTAACAACTTCAACAACTACAACAACGTGATTGCCAACGTTCACGCCTATACTTCATTAGGATTTGGGAGTCCATATATTTCTTCAACTTCCCTACTCCGCTACAAGAATGAAAGAGAAACTAAAAATTTACATCTGAAAAAAACTTTAAGTATAGTATAACCATAATTCTTTGTGTTTTTGCAAAATCAAAAAAAATTATCAAAAACAATTTAAATATAAAAAAATCACAAAATTCAAATTTAAAAACAAAAATGTTCACAAAGAAATAATAAAAATCATTGAGGGGAGACTTAAAAGAGTAAAAAGCGCCCCAATACTTATAAGCAATATTTGTTTTTATATATATTATTTAAAATTTAATTACTTAACAGTTAATAATTTTAATAAATAACATTTTATGCACCTGCACATTATTGAATGGATTTAACTTTAATGCACTTCGCTTATAATATATATAATATATCTATATCATTATTATTTTGATATACCGTGTTTTCATTCTTAATAATATTTCTTCTTAAAAAATTTTTAATAGCAATTTAATTTACTTTTATGCATCTTTGAATTTAGTTTAAAAAATTTTTAATTCCAATATTTTTAATTTTTATCTAAAATTAACACATAATGTGAAAGAAACATATTGAGTTTCTAAAGAAAACATCATAGACCATCTAAACTATCCATATCTATCGTATCCGTACACATCTATTCAAGCTTGGTTATATTTCTCTGGGTCTGTGTCTGTGTCTATGTCAAAGATTAAGAACAATTTTTTTGAGAATGGAACTTTCTAAGAATTTATTGGAAAAATCCAAAGTAATACTATATTTTATAACAAATGCGAGTAAATTGGTAAGTTATACAATCTCGACTTATTTGAAGACTATATTCTTAAAAAGCTTCAGGAAAACGATAGTTTAAAAATTTTTGAGAGAAATGAACGATAACATGTATAGATATTTTAATAACGACCTTTAAGAAGTGGTTTTTATTTATATTCCACTATTTTTTACAAATATTCAAATAAAATATGATGTGAAATGTGTATAGATATATGAAATAATTTTTGAATCAAAATGGCTCCTCAGATTTAAATATAGATATAAGAATTGTTTATTATAATTTTTTTTTATGTTAAAAACTATTTTAGTTGTTAGCATGTCCTTCCAAAATCTGAATTATAATAATAGTTGCATCACTATATTTTATCAGTCAAAATTAATAAAACTTGACTCTACTTGTCTTAATTCAAGACACTCCTTGTAATGTGACAAACTTTTGTATGTATTTATAAATACCGAAATACTGAAGTATTTAAACAAATTTAAATATTTCTTTAGGAATATTTGAAATATTTGCCCTTTGAACAAAGGGCAGTTATATATGTTTTGTACTTAAAGACTATAAAATCCAGTGAGAGTGTATCACTGCTACAGAAATATGTTATAGTGTAGTTTGTCATTTTAGTATATACAATTTAAACACACAGAACTCCATACTTTATAAAAATCAGAAATAAAATTGCCTGAACAGTTATACTATTAAAAATATCTACTCAGAAAGTTGAACTAAAATAAGATATGAAAAAAGTGCATCCATTATAAAGATAATTGGCGTTACTCTGCACTGTGTCTCCCCTTAAGGACACGTTATTTATTTTTTAATCACAATTTCACATGCAAATAAATACACACCTATGCACAAGCTTTTATAATAAATCAATTTTTATTTTAAAAGAGATTTAGAAGACAAATTATCTTTAGATAAAGCTATCTATAACCTTTATCTTTTTTCAAAGATTTGAGATCATTTAACACTATGCTTATAAACATCCACAGCTTATTTATCAGAAAGAATAAAATCTTTTACATGACTAAACAAAACTCCATGATAACGGCCACCATATACAGTTGCGTAAACAAGGAGGAACTTGGGTCCAGCCCCCGACGCAAGATATAACGTATTATATTCAATTAAATTTTTATATATAAACTATAAATGAGTTTTAAGAAACCCTCCTTTTGCCTCTGTACACGTCAATGACTCTATTGCCGATAAAGCACTATAACGGCAAATACGGTATCTAACCTCTAAGGTATGATAAGTTTAGAACCTTCATCCGATTTTTGCTGTATTCAATTTTTTTATATGTTAATTTGATCATTTTATTATTTATTGTTTTTATATATTTTTATAAATTATTTATCATATATTTATACACATATATTTATTTTATATTTATTTTACATTAATAAAATATAATATTTAAAATATTCAGGATAATATATATTATGCGTAAACTTAGTCCAAAATTTATGGCACTCGGCAGAGCGTGCTATTAAAGTGGCAAAATTTATTTTATTTGATCGATGATTTTTTTATATTATATTTAACAATTCTGAATACTTTTTATATATCATGTACAACATTTACTTAAAATTGAGATTATTAACAGTTTTACGACCACAAAAATATTTTTAATATATTGAATTATTATTATTTTTAATTATTTTTAATAATCTATTTATTAATTATTTTTTATATTATTTTAATAATTATATTTTTAAAAATTTTTTTATTACAAAATAATTATTATTTATATTATGCATATATATATTGACCCTGATATAAAACGGAAGGTTCTTAATAGTTTTTCGAATTTTTCATAACATTTTATAATTATAATTAATTTTTTTGTGTATTTAATATTATATTGAATTGTAATTTATACTCAAATTAAAGAAACTTTACTATAGAAATGTTACTAAGTGAAATAACTAACAACAGTAATTTATTTAAAATTAGGTTCAAACCTTGGCACGTGGGGTCTAGGTTATACGGACAATTCAGCCAAAAATATTGACCTTCATTTTCGAAAATACAAAACGAATATTTTTTTTTAATATTTTTAAATAAACACTAAAAAACAGCACAATGTGTGGAATTGGAAATCGCTAAATTAGTGTAACCTTTGCCAGTGAAGAACACTAAAGGTCAACTAATCACTCTTACCTATCTCTTACCACTCTTGCCCTTAAATAATACTTTTACATATGCTGCATTAAATTACTTGTTTTCCATTTTTATGACTTCAATTTTTGTAGAACTTTTCTATCAAAACTTTCTTATAGCCAATTTTTTTAAAAAAGTATAGATTTGGTCAAAAATGTAGTCGGCGTTTTTTATCATAATTAAAATTTTTTTAATTTCAAAATCAACTCTATTATATCAGACACTTTTTATTTATTTCGATCACCTTTCCTCAAGAACATAAAACAAAAAAATTATATATCACAATTTTAAGTCAATACGCTACGATAATCACATTAAAACTTCTAAGTCAGGACCTTTCAATTTTTACCGCTTTGGTAGTCTAATTTTTTTTTAATTGATGGTTTTTAGTGATATTATAGCAATAGAAATTTGCATCAGCTCATAATGAAAGATACCTTTGTATACCTATCAAACATTCATGTTACGGCCAATCCCATAGGGATCGATAATTTCATCAACCATTTCGATAATAGTCGACCAGACAGTGTAGCATCTTTGACACCTAAATTTTTAAAATGAAAGCAAATAAACTTTCTTGACAGTTGATTGTGGCACCTTTATAATCAGCAACAAAAATCTCTTTACATATCAGTGCTAAATTTTTTTATTATTGTAGAAAAATTGTAAAATATACCAATTATGTTAAACTAAAAAGTTTCAAGACGAAATAAATCATTAGAGCACATTTGCTATATATGAAAGAAACTACTCCAGAAAGCTATATATGACGACCTCAAATCTTTCAAGCTGAGTTCCACAAATTTTTAGTATGTTTAAAATTTTAAAAATAAATTAGCTTCACTAAACGATAATATGCACTACTTTATGCATTTTTTTTAATCAAATAATTTAAACTTAAAATAATTATATTGCACATATGTACCTGTTTTATTTGTGTATGTACTATATATTCTGAATCATTTTTGGAAATAGTATGTTTCCTTTATTTTTATAAATTATTTTTTGTCATTATAAAAGAATTCAATCGAACAACTAATAAAACATACTTTACTCTGCATTTTTCCAAATTTTTTTGCTTTATGTTTTTCTTTCTAGAAATTGCCACATTAACCCATAAATTCACATCGGTAACCTTGTACAAGAACAAGACAGTACGTTATGCAGCCAGAATGCATGCTATCATTGCTTGCCAAATGGAGTTTCAGTTGTATCCTATGGACATTCAAGTCTGTCCTATATATATCGAAAGTTGTAAGTACAATTAATCAAAATAAAAATAAAATCTGTGTGATTTGTTTTATTTATAAATATATATATTTTTAGTCTCATCAAATAATCAAAAAGTAAAATTACGCTGGTCTGATTCTGGTGTTACTCTTAATCCAGAACTTAAATTGCTACAATATAATCTAGGTCAACCACTAGAGTTGGAAGAAAGTGATGGATATATGCCTGAAAAAGTGGGAAACTTTTCACGATTAACTGTGTACTTCCGTTTTGAAAGACAAATCGGACATCATTTAATACAAACTTTTGCACCGTCCTCACTGGTTGTGATGTTATCATGGTTTAGTTTCTGGCTTGGTTTAGATGCTATACCAGGACGAGTCACATTACTTGTTACTTGTATGTTAACTCTGGTAACAATGTTTACTGGACTGAGAGCCGACATACCACCTGTGGCATACGTAAAAGTAAGTAAAATCAAAATTTTATTATTGGTAAAATATATTTTAAATTTTGTTAACGCCTTTTTGTTTTTGTTTTTGTTTATTTAATTAGGCCCTTGACCTGTGGATGGCCGGCTGCATGGTATCGGTGTTTGCTGCCTTGGCAGAGTTTGTTGTGGTAAAAGTGTTGGACGTTCAATATCAGTACCAAGTGAATAAAATGCCAAAGGTTTTGCCAATGGTAAGCTACAATTATTTCAATCAAGACAGTGTAATTTTTTTAATGAAAACAATATCAAACAAATTTGCATACAATTTTGCATATTCTTATAATTTTTTTTTTTTGTTTTTTTTTTTGCAGCGCATAAGTAACATGGAAAAAGGGCAATGTGCAACGGTAGCAAGTTGGGAAGGTGGCGCTGTACGGTCACGAAAAGCTACACAAACGCCAACTACACCAGGCCAGGTAAATTACACAAGAAGTAATACATAATGTTAAAAAATATATATAAAGTATATAAAACCTTGACTTAGATTATCTAAAAAAAATGCTTTACCTGCTTAGGACTTTCTGCAATGCGGAATTTAACTAGATGAGAAGGTAAAAGCGGCAATTCGATTGAGAAATACTAAAAATATTCTTATCCTTTTATATTTTCAAGTACAATACTTAAATGACATATAATGTCATAACTCTAAATTTCATTCTAACAATATTTCTCCACTGAATACTGTCACTAAGGCTAACCATTATATAAAATGTCCTTAACATTACTTATACAGCATAATAATAATTTTACAAATACAATGTATTTAAAACGCTATCTTGAGAAGTTTCATACTCGTACTACTTGAAGTTTTACTCCGAATAGACACGAAATTTATGCTAAATACTTATAAAAACATTTTGTAGATATTTTTTATTGAATAAAATTTAAATAAATAATTTAAACATCAAATTAAATTTATTGCAAACATTAATTTAAGTGGTTTAAACAAATCCAGTAAGTTCTGATCGGACATAAAATTGTCCTCCAGGTGCTTCTGCTTAGACGTGCTTTTCTAATCTATCACATCAAGTGCAGTAAATGCTCTCCTAACTTAACTTACTCGGACCGTCTTATTTAGTGAAACATCGTATTCCATTCTGATAACATGTCCAAGCTATAAAAGCCTTTAAAAGTAATTTTATTGAACATGTATTTAAAGTGAATGTGACAGCAAAGATCATAAGTTTTATAGTTTTTTCATCTAGTCTGATCCATAAACTAGGATAAGATTAGATGGAAAAGATGGCTTTTTCATCATCTAGATTTAGCCAGAAAGCCAACAAAAAATTTTTTTGTAATTTTTAAATTAAATTTAATATAATAACTAATATATTTTTGTAACATTTATTGTTTATTGTAAAATTTAAAGCAGTATATCTACCAGCCAAACATTTTTGCTAGTAAACTATAAACTTACGTCTAATGGCTTTACTTTATTCCCTGACAACTTAGCAAAATAAGTACATATTTACTTAAAACAAAATATATAATAAATTTGTATCGATATGGTTATCAGTTACATAGCGAAGAAGACTTGAGAAGCTGAAAATAACGCCCTAAGCTTCCGATATGGATCGTATATGAAATACGATTATTAATATGTATATTTATACATATAGATGTTCATTACTAATGCATCGTGGGTGTACAACAAATTAATTTTTTTCTAAATTAACAAAATTAATTGAAATACAACTCCCTTCCCGCTCCTCTAAATATTTTTATAGCTATGGACCTCGTCGGCATCTGTTTCGTCCAAAGATCAATCAGCATTGCACTTCCTTTTCCATGTTGCTGCACCCTACAAAAGGATATGTAACATGAGCTAGTTGTACAGAATTTATGTCATATGGCAAACAAAAAATAAGCCTTAAGAAACATAATTTAATGTTTAAAACATTATTTTAAACAATTTATAAATATACTCATATTGTCTCTTTCAGACTTCACTACAGACATCACTACAAGGTAATGGTGGCCCTCCAAAACCAGCTCGAAGACAAAGCCTACTTTCAGTTGCCTGGACAGATACAGACACCGGAGTAGAAAAAATTATGTGGCGTGAAATAGACAAAGTGTCTCGTGCAGTTTTTCCTATTTTATTTTTTGTTTTTGTACTTTTGTATTGGCCAATATTGTTGATGAAGTCATCCTAGGATTTGGGGAGTTCCAGAATACATATTTCTGGACTCCGATAAATAAAAATAAAACGAATGTATAGTGTATAGACTTTAAAAAAATATTTGGAAAAGGAAGGAACAAATTAACTTAGTGACCTTATTTATATAAGAACGCTTTTAAAGCACAAAAGAACTAATCAATTACAAAAAATCATCCATTTATTCTAGACAACATTATTATTAGCTTGTATATAATTTTATTTTGTAGACTTAAATTTCTATATATTAAAAAGTAAATATTAACAATTATATATTTTCCAACATATATAAATTATATACTAGTATAAAAGAAGAAGTTTGCTTATATTTTCCAATGTCTTGCTAAATGATTTTCCAATATACATACTATATACATATTAATTTATATAAAATCTACAAAAATATAATAGTTTAATTATTACATTATTTTTGTATAATAATCTATTTATATATGAAGCTTTTTATTCGATATAAACTAAATTTAAGATTATATATAGTGTACATGCGAAAACTTAGTACGAAATTGATTACTTATATACTAATTTTTAAGTAGTTACGAGCTAAATATAAAATAAAATATATAATTACTGACCTAACAAATTCGGTGCTTTTAGAGATAATAATTTTATTACATACTAGAAATATAAAAGTAATTCTGTATTTCTCTGCTTTATTAAATATACTAAAAAAAATACAAATAAATAAATATATTTTCCTATATTTGTATTTAAATCCCACAAATATACTCACATAACTGTTACAAAAAGATATATCACTAATTCTCTACCTAAAAATTATCTATCAAACAAAAAATATTTTATTAAAGTGATTATGTATACACCTGATGTACCTTATTGTAATATAAACAAATACCATATAATAAAATACGCTTTAATTTTTAATATGAAATGTTTTTTTTTTTATTTTTAAACAAAAACATATATTTTCCAAATAAACATAATATTTAATCATGTTGGAAGAGTAGGTATATTCGTATAATAATAAGAACAAAAAAAATGTTTCCAAACATATTTAGATAAATGATTCCGACAACAGATATCTACAAGTATCCACCTACAAGAGAGAATAAAGACTAGTAACTATAAACAACCATTTGACATTCATTTGTTTTGACATTCATAATGTTTCTGAGAAGAAAAATAAAAATATTTTAAAAATTTATTATTTTCAAAATATATAAAGTCAGAATAACATATAGACATTAAGTAACGTATTAAAGCTTATAGAACATGATTAAATTTATATAATTTTAGTCAATTTTTAATTATAGCGCTTTATATGACTATATATTTATTCGGGTATACTTTCTTTCGTATCTTGGTTGAAGGAAAGATAGTGACAGCAACGTACGTAGCCAGGGAGGGCCTGAGATCCTGAAACTCACAAAATTTAATAGAAAGTGTATATTTATATTTATACCTAATTATTATTAATACATCATAACATAATTTAATGGTAAAAAAAAGTATAATCGATCCAGCATTTTATCTAAAAGCCCCACAAAACAAAAATCTGACGAGGTCCCTAGTGACAGTACTTTGATAATTTATTAAACAACATACGCATAATGTAGCATTAGGTGCATACGGTTTAAAATATTAATGAGCCTCTTGCGACATTATTAAATATTCTTTAATAGGAAAGATTAAAAGCTTTGAAATATAAACAACCCTTTAGCACTTGTTTGCGATAAAAGAGGTTTTCAAAAAAGAATCGTCACTTCACTTGAATCTTATTTACACTATAGATGTGATGTTTTAAACAAGCTCTACTTCAACAAAGATTTTAGGGAGCACACCGTAACAGCTGGGTTCTTCAAAAACTGCGGTACTGTATTGCATGAATATCAACATGAACTTATTTCAGACGTCTATGTTCATGTATTACTTCAGACATGAAAAAGAAAAGACATGAAAACAAGTAATGATGTTAAAACGATCACGATTTATTCTTACTAAATACTGCTATATAAACTTCTCAGGAATGTTCTATTATTTAACAAGTTATGTGGGGACTATTCTAAAAAAGTTTCTGTTCGGCTTTCATTAGATGAAACTTACAATAGACTAATGTTTTGATGCAAACCAAATTTTCGAGAACCATTAATTCTCACGAAAAATTATTTCTATTTTAATTACTTTAAACCAACTTTGCATTTAATTACAAGTGGCATATTACTTCATTCTTACTCTAAAGTCTAAGAATACTGATAAAACTTATTGTCAATTAAAATAACTCACTAAGAATACACATTGCTTATTCAAGGACAGCAATCAAACTCTTTATTATAAAATCCGGAAAGAACACTATTCTCTGAAATTTAACTTTTGTAATTCCACATTATCATAAACATATCACATCTTCACACTGTATATATGCAAGGGAAATTCAAAAAAACTATATTGAATATATAAAAATAAAAATATATTGTTGTTTTTAATTGTAATATTATTATAGAAGGCAGCATATTTTGCGCCAAATTGCTTGTTTTTATTGTATAACAAATGATATTATATTTTTGTTATTACATTATAATCTCTTCATTAATAATTCTGGTCATTCTTTCGAGCTGTAACATATTCCTTAAAGAAAATTATAAACCGTTATAATTTTTTTTATATATCCTTACAGGGATTTAGAAGAACATAGTAGCTTTTATACTATACAATTTGTCTGACGAACAAAAACATTCAGGTATGCTTAGAGAAATTTCTTTAGGTCGTGTATTTTAACAAAATCATTTTCTTCAGCAACTGTCGCTGCTTTCGGTCAACAAATGGTATTTTATTTTTACCAAATTCCATGCACGAAGCCAAACATTCTCTTATATGCCATCTGATACAATAAACATCTGATACAATACCGGCAATTCCACACAGAGTCTTGTAACAATGGTGGTATTAGGAATATACAAATGAGTATGGGAACGACTACATATAAAAAAGTATTATGATTTGACATGGCTATAGCTGATATAGATTTCAAAGAACTACAGGGAAGTGATATATATTTAGGTTCGCTATTTTCTTATAATTTTTGATAGAAATAATCAGTTTTTTATTCACTCTGACTTTGTTTTATTCTTTAATAAAATAATTGTTGTTTTAACAGAGGCAAGTTGATATGTAACAGCTTTCAGAATCGAAACTTAATCAATATTTTAAATTCTGATTTTGATGTGAGAAATGACTAACGGCAGGTAACTAAACATCAAACACAAATTTTTATTTATAGGTAGATTGCATCTTCAATACGATTCATTCAATGCATTGTTGTTGTCGTCGTACCCCTCCGGGATCTGAAAAGCAGTTAACATGTAGGGATTACAAAACGAATGCATGGTTAGGAGAGTGGATGTGTTGGGTTAGAATTAAGGGGATAATGGGAAAGGAGAGAGAGGATATAATTGAAATCAACCAGAGTCCAGCCGTAGAAACCTAGCTACCTAAAAGGGATGAGTTCAAAAGTCGATTGGACTTAAATTAGTGTGTGCAGTGGAATAAGAGAGCAGATGGACGACGTCATGGGGGTTTCAAGAACGGCCGGGTCTATGTCCAGGAGCCACCCGTCGAAGGCGATCAAGTGCCGTTCAACATGACCCAAAGGGGTCACACAAGTTTTCAACGGATTCTCTTTTAGCAATGACTACATTATTTAGGTGTTGTTTCTTGTACTTACTCTTTCAAGAAACCAAAATATGTTATATTAAATTTATAAACAAATGTTTATATATTGAATTTAATTATATAATTAACAAATGGTAAAATATCTTATAGTCATATGGTCACATCATAGCAATAAAAAATATTTATTATATAACTTATTTTAATCAAGTTCATCTGTTAAATCCTATTTTCTTCATTCTCACTGTCATTTTCGTCGCCACTACTACTGCTACTACTTTCTTCAACAAATTCACTTTCATCTTTAACATCCCCATGATTTGTCTTAATTAGAAGCATTTCTTCATCATCATCGCTCGAATCAGCAGTTATTTCTGTAGAATTCTTATTTGATTTATTATTTTGCGAATCGTTTTGCTTATCCACTGCGTCTAATATAATCCTCATGGTATACTTGTTAAAATCACAACTGAAAAATTATAAAAATTTTTAATTTTAAAATGGTAAAATTAAATTCAAAAATTTAAAACATTTAATACACATTTCATATTTACATTTTGTTAAGTAGTTCATATTTTCGTGACATGCTTTCGTGCAGAGATAACAGTGCATGATGTTCAAAAACTCCATCCCGATTTCCATGACTGTTCAGCAAACAGCAACACCATTGTAAATAGAATTCTATATGATGTGTTGATTGCAGCATTCGTGCCACTGCCTGCAGTAGCCTACCTGCTATTTGGTTTGGCAGATTGGAACAAATTAATTCAACTGCAAAAGATATTAATTTATTTATTTTTGAGTTAACATTAAAATTAATTTTAAAATTAACTAAAAATAGAAAACTGAACTACTAAGTCCTACGCCCTATATTCATTTTAGTTTTATACATTATATTTACATATTTCATTTTATTATTTATTAAATTCTTGAGGCTCTATGCTTAACTTAGGAGGAAAGGAATACACCATCCTCATTTGATTTATTTTGTATCATTGTATATTATTTTATTTTATCTTATCTTATTCTGTCTTATTTTATTGTATTAAATATTTGTTATTTAGGAACTCTAAACTAACCTCAAACTACAATATTTGCAACATATGGTATACCAATACGATACGAAGAAATTATTTATATGTATATATATATATTTAATGCGCAGACACCCAACCTTAGTAAGGAACTGGATTATAATCCTTAGAAAAACCTTCTTCGGAAGCCCGAACAACAGACAGTGATATTGGTGATAATTTTATGAAGCCTATATTTTATTAAAAGAAATTAGCGGGTAATTCTTGAATCAGGAATGCACATATGTATCATGACAAATTTTAGTACGTAAAATATTCAATAATTAGCTGGGAAACAAAATGAATTCGCATTAGACCTACGTAAAAACTGCTACAGAGTCACTCTTATGACTATCTACCATTGCAAACTCATTTAATGAAATGTTAACAGTAAACCTAATTTAATACATTTACTTTAAAAAATTTTTAATATATACTTTAATATAGTATACTGTACATTAATACTCACTGTCTTGAAATGAAATTTTTTCCAGTACCGTTGCAATACCATTTGCTTCATTCAGTTTAATTGCCATAATAAGCGCTTTTGTGTATTCCTCTTTCTGCAAGTATTCTTTTATAGCTTTTGGTGTGACTTCCATTGATAAATCAAACGGATCAAATACAACGCCTATAATGTAATAATTTTTTTATACAATATTAAAAATATTTAAATATTTTATATATAAACCTTTGTCCAAAGAATAAATACAAAGTCCTTCCGTATATGCTACAGAGAATGACTGACCCGTTGGTGAAAATTTGACAGAAAATATTCTAACTTCTGGTTTAAAATTTCTTGATGCCATATCACCCTTTTGAACACCAGGTAAACGTATCGCAACATTACCACCTTCAAGCTCTTCTCGTTTTTCTATTAAAGCCATATTTCCAAATTCAGTTATATTGCGATAATTTAAAAAATCCTTTAAAGAAAAGTAGTTCATTAACATTAAAGAGGAATTTAAAATCAATTTTTAAACACTTATAGCTTTATTTTTTATAAAATATATTTAGAATGCATATACAACGATCTATAGGACTATAGATAAACTAATCTAATAGAGTATGCACATTATCAACCGAAGTCATAAAAAATAGCAATCGTTTTTGATATACTTACATGCATGCCATCTAAACTCAGATTTTGAGTTATTTGAAACTTTTTAACAAGAATTGCTTCCCGCACATGATAAATACAAATCATTTGTGAGTTACCTGCAGCTAAAATACATTCACCATCAGCAGAATATTCAAGAGAAGAGAAATATCTAAAATAATAATTTATATTTTATATATATTACATTTATATTTAATTTTCAAATTCCTTACTTTCCCTTCAAATTTTTTTTAGCAGTTATTAAATCAGTTTCAGAGCGCCCAGCTCCCAAATCATTTCGGCCTTCAATTGAGCTTACTTGCGAAGCTGATTTAACATTAAATATCATTATATTACCACTTAAAGCTGCAACAGCAATCTAAAATTTTAATATTAATAGTAACGTTTAATAGTGTTGAAAATTTTATAAATTCAACTTACATCTTCGCCATTAGGATTGAATGCAACACATGTTACATCAGATAATATATCAATAGTCTCATGCTTACTGTTATCCTCTAAACAGTTCCAGATTTTTGTTGTCTTGTCCCATGAACCTGATACAAGAGTCGAGGAAGTAGCTACAGGTGAAAAAGCAACTGATGTCACTGGTCCTTCATGACCACTAATAACTTCCAGAAGATTTCCCATCTTTACTGACCATAAATATATATCAAATACATCTTGTCCTCCAGCGACTACTAACTCCCCAGAATGATCAATTGCTACACAAGAAAACTGTACAGGTTCTGGAGAAGTGAATGTACGAAAATTTCGATATCTGAACCAGTAACAAAGCAATACAAATATACATATATATTGTATAATTATATGTTATATAATAGCAGATTTAGCTACGCACCTTGTTATATCGAAAGCACGTACAGTTCCATCCAAAGAGCTACTCACTAAAAACTTTTTGTTTTTACTAAATTGAACACCAGTAACATTACCAGTATGTTCAGTGAACGTCACAAAACAAAACCCATTTTGGGTGTTCCACAACTTAACTTTAGAGTCTTCGCCACCCGTTGCAATAAACTGACCATCAGGTGAATACGCAGTGCAAGACATTTCACTGGTATGTCCTTGCTGTTTCATTATGTACTGTTCACCTAACAGACATTGAATTTAAATATTTATTTAAACAATATAATATACTTCTATATAAATATATCAATAAATAACCACTAGATCAATACACTTACTTTGCCACTCCCAAACAAGCAATTGACCTAATTCTTTTGAAGCTAAAGCTACCCAATCTCCAGTGCAATTAAAAAGTGCAGTAGATATTGGATAATCCGATACACTTAATGAATGTATCATATTTACTTCAGGTAGTTCATACAAATAAAACGAACCATTGCTAAATGCAACCACCAGAATTTTAGTCTTTTTATTATAATGTGTAGCAGTTAACACAACTTTAGGTTGTTCTTTGCGGGGTTCATTAGCAAGATAATGACGTGAAAGTTTTTTATAGTAAAACGGATGCATTTTCCTTGCTTCCACATCTTTTACATCATTTTCGTCAACACCTTCTGCAAGCAATTTTTCATCGGATTTTGATTTTTCAATATCATCTTTAATATCATCCTCAGAATCATCTGCATCATCGCCAGTTTTCGTTATTTTAGGTGGTAGAATGTCTTCAATTTTGTTCACTTTACCAATATCCTTAAATCCTAGACTACACTCCCATAAACATAGTTGACCATTACGACTAACAGTGTTTAAATGAAGACTATTGTCTTCAAAAAAGCAAGCAACAATAGCATCTGTATGGCCACCTAAGTTATACGTTCTGAAGTTAGTCAAATATCGTATAGCAATAATTTTTGTGGAATTATCACGGCAACCTATTGCCAAAAAACGTGAATCTGTTGACCAGTCTAACCAACTGATATCTTCATAGCCACCAATAAAATTGCGTACTAAAACAAATGGACTATATTCGCCTGTAAGTTCACCTGGTGTACGAAAAATAAGTATAATATTTCCACGAGCCACTGCAAAGTAAGCTCCATCTGGACTGAATTGAATGCATTGTACCTTATTTTGAAATTTATGGGTATGTATCACTGTACATGAAACCATACTTATTAATTGAGCTTGGCCGCAATCATTCACTGCAATCAGTAGACTACCATTTGGAGAAAGTGCAATGGCAGAATAATTATAATTCGATTCCAAAGATAATGTACGACTTTTATGACTAAAATAATATAATGATAAACCTGATATTTATTATTTACAATAAAAAAATATACTTTTTTAGATCAAATATGGATAACCGATTACCAACAGGACTTATCACTGAGTTTCCATCTGGTGTAAACAGTATGTTTCCACTTCGATATGTTGCACCCAATAAATTGGAAAACTGAAATTTATTACTTTAGATTATAAAAAATAATTTTTAATTATCATCACTTATTACCTTATACGAGAATTTCATTTTTATTTAAATATTTTATTTTAAAACTACAACAAGTTCCTCAATGCGCTCCAACTACTCTCGTTCAGAACGTAAACAAACCAATAACATGTGCTTGAAAAGTCTTACCATTCTAACAAATGGAATTTATGCAACAAAATGTAAGCAGAGATGGCAAACCTTTGATGTTTTGAACATCAGAACTAATGAAGAATATTTATAATATTATATAGTTTTCTTAGTTTTAAATTTATTTACAAATTCAATCAACTTTTTATATATCATACTATAAGTCTGTTTCACGAGCTATTCATAGTAACTTTGAGTAACACTGTGTATACACAACTGCGTTCCACCAGCAAATTTTAAAGTAAATGAGAGCATCTGAAAATTCATGGAACAGACCCACTATATAAAATAAATGTGTTCTTCCATCTTTGACTGTGAAATTAGCATATAATAATAAGCAATAGATTTGGTTAAGAAAGAATTATAAACACAAAATAAAATATTTATTTAACCATTTTATTTTTGTACACATGTCGGAGGTAATTATAGATGTCCTAACTAATACAAAAAGAAAATGGGTAAAAAATTATTTTTACATTATACATTGTTTATATTACAAGCATTTATTAAATATTTGTATTTTAAACTGAAAAGTTGAAATATAAATGAAAACAAAACCGAATATTTATATATATATATATGTATATTCATTGCATATAAGACACATATACTGTGTAAGGTAATTGAAAAGACATCAAATGTATCTTTTATGCAACATTACGATAAAAGTTATTTTATGCAAACCAGAATATTTTAAAAATGTGTTTTAAGAACTATTTTTGTACAAAATTAATGGTATAACATATAAAGTTCAATAGTTTTTATACTATTACTTTTTTACCGACACAACAGAGCTTAGAGACTTAAATTATGTCTGCGCATTCTAATGAGAACATACCTCTATAACAACTCTGTCGTAACCCTAAAATTTTTTTTTCGCATTTTGAAAAATTAACAAAACTATTAACCGAACCATCAAAACGAACAAAAAGAAAACAATCGAAAACGCGGCAAATAATCATATTGTAGAATTTAGGGAAAACAACACATATTTTAAAGAAAATGCGAAGTTTTACGCCACCATCGCACGTGCTTACATTTTCAGATCAAATTACATGTTTTGAAATATGTAAAAATGATTTTGCATATAACTTAATATGTTTCGCCGGAGACAAAAAATTAACACTTGCTTTAATCCAATTTCCAGTAAGACATTCTATTATTTATTTTATTATTATTACTAAATTATTTCGTAGGAAGAATCTGAAGTTGATACATTTGCATGGGAACGTATTAAGGATATATACCACGAAAGCCGCTGCAGTGCACTTTGTTTTGCACCAGAAACATCTCTCGCATGTATACCAAAAACAGTTATATTCTGTGCAGCTGGGTCAGATTTTAAATTACGAATTTTCCGTACGGATCTTCAAAATTCAGATACTGTACAAGATTTAAAAGGTAATATTAGTCATTATTTTTGAACACATTTATTTTATTCTTTTGTATATAGGTCATTCTAATTATGTTAACGACGTAAACTGGGACACTGAAGGTGAATATCTTGCGTCTGTTAGTGATGACCATTCATGTAAAATTTGGAACGTTGAGTCAAATTTTGAAACTGTTACAACGTTTTGTCTCTCATCAGCTGGGATGTCTGTTAAATGGCATCCGGAAGATCCTCACAAAGTCTTAGTTGCAGAGAAAAAAGGAATTGTACATATGTACAATGTGCGCTCACAACAAGCTATAATATCTATAGAGACACCAAAATTTCCATTAATGTCGGCAGATTGGTCCTTAGAAAATCGTTTTTGTATTGCAACATTAGCCGGTGGCGATGTAATTACATGGGACTTGAGGCACCCAAGCTCACCAACAGACAAAAAGCAAATGCATGAAGACTGTGGACGGAATATATTATTTTCGCCTTCAACCGAACTACTTATAGCTAGTATTGGCCGCCCCGATATTACTCTTAAAGTTTACACTTCGAAATCAGTAGTTCCACAAATAGAAGCACCACTAAAATTGTTTGGTGGTATTTCCTTTCACAATCGGTTACCATATATAGGTGCAGCGTGTGATAGAAAACTTTGTTTTTGGAAAATTAAATTAAAATAAAATACATATTTTGTTTTGTATAAATGGTAATTTTTTTTTAATAAATTAAAAATTGAATATCAATGCATAATTCAAGTGTGAAATGTAATGTAATTATTAACTGTCCTGTCCTTTTATTGAAGAACAATAATCGGAATACTTCTGTTCTTGTTGCAGTTGCAATTTTTTTAACTTTTTTATTAATCCTTTACTAAGTTCTTTGCCATCCTGGTCATGAGTGGGTAGACCCTATAAAGTTATAATATAATATTTAAAATGCAATAATAAATATTTACTTACAGTTCCATCAAATGCACTATATTTGTCAGATTCGTTAAGGAACATTTTCTTTGGATCTATTTTTCTTTGCTCCTCTTTAGCAGCTAAAGCAGCAGCAGCTGCTTGCTTTTTTCTATCTTTTTCAGCTTCACGTTCTGCTAAAGCTATAAGTTTTAGTTGGCGTTCTTTTTCTAATGTATCCCGATCTACTAGTTTTACCGCGTATTTATCATCATCTTTATCTTCTAAACGAACACCCAAGTTTGGTAAAATATTATCACGTAGCTCATCACAAAATTTTAGGATCTCAGTAGACTTAGTTGTTTTAGCTTGCTTGCGAACTTGGTTCCTAAATTCTGCTATTGCATTGACATAAGGCAATACAGTCGATTCAATATCAACATTTCCATCGCCTGAACTTTTCATTGGAAAGCCAATACCACCACGATTTCCTTTAATAACGCCAAATATATTAAAAAGGTCAGTGACATAAGCAGCTATTCTTCTTAGGAGTAAACTGTTTAACTTTTCCTTGTTGTCACGTATGTAGACATTAGAAGAAGATATAAGTTCTCGTATCAAATCCAGGCTTGTACGGGTATCAATGTTATCTAAATATTAAACTTAAGTGTTATTATTGTTTGGTGTTATTAATCAAAAACCTACCACACAAAGCCTCATATATTTTAGATTGTATATTATTAAATTGAATTTGTAAATCTGATTCAACATTACTCCAAGCATCAAAAAGATTGCATGGATTTTCAGAACTAGTATGTTTTCTAGTAAGATCTTTTACATTAAGGAAGAATTCCTAAAATAAAAATAATAATATTTGTGTCAGAAAAAAATATTTATATTGATCTCACATTTAAAAAACGTTCATATTGAACTGCCATATCCATTGTGTTGTCTGAATAATCCAACGTATCTTTCCATGAGTGCAACAAAAAAGCAAGCCGTAGTTGACTTGGAGAATGCTTTTGCAAAGCTTGTTGAATTGTTACAAAATTTTTAAGAGATTTCGACATTTTGCAACCGGCGATGGTTAAGTGACCCGTATGAAGGAAATACTTTACCCAATCTTCTTCATCAAATGCTGCTTCCGACTGTGCTAACTCGTTATCATGATGTGGAAACTTTAAATCAACTCCTCCAGTGTGTATATCAAATTTAGGCCCAAAAATATCAGATGCCATTGCTGAACACTCAATGTGCCAACCAGGGCGACCTTTTCCCCAAGGGCTATTCCACCATGGTTCACCAGATTTACTAGCTTTCCATAATGCAAAATCATTAACAGACCTTTTTTCTGAAAGACGATCTTCTGTAGTTGATAAATCCCCTTCCCCTTCTTGTAATATTTTTGTATCGCCATACGCTTCTGGTACTAATTTAGCATAGTGATGTTTTTCTCTTTTATCAAATCCATTAACATCAAAATAAACCGAACCATTTATTGCGTATCCTAAACCGTTAGCAATAATTCGTTCAATGAACGTAATTATTTGGGGAACATATTCGGAAACCCGAGTCAGGACATCTGGTGGTAATATCTAAAAATATACAATTATATATGAAAAAATTAAATAAATATACATACATTTAGAGCATTCATATCATTATGAAACTGGTCTTCCCAATATCTAGGTAGAGATTCGAAAATTGCATTATCAGTCACTAGTGAACCTTCTTTCCGATCTAGCCAATCAGATAGAGGGTCTCTGGCTTCAATTAAATAAGAAGTGCGGGCTTTCTTTAATTCAATTTCGTCACCATTGGAAACAGCATTTGTAAGCATTGTTATTGCATCATTCATGCGTTCTAATATCTTATTTAACATGATTTTCTTATCCGGATCGTTGTTTTGCGCACATGTTGCTTTAAACGCACACAACACTTCTTTTTGGTCAGAGAGTAGCTTATCTAATGGGCTTGTTTCCATTGACAATACATATCGCTCATACAAATAATTTTGTCGTGCTCGTTTTATTATTTTGTCATCAATATCAGTGATGTTCATAACATAATGAATATTGTAACCAAAAAAATCGGCAAGAACACGCCGCAATATATCAAAAGATATATAAGACCTTAAAGAAGAACATGCACACTTGCAAGATAAGATAATAATTTCATCATGATTGCCTTTGATGTGGCAAATATAGTTGGTATGTTTTTACCTAGCATGCCCCATGTGGGATGCGTCATACACAGTAGGACCACAGCTATACCACGTCACATTATTACCATCCAATGGAATAAAGTCCTCTTTTTGTCGCGTAAGACTATTAAACAAGCGCAATTTTGGACGATCCACACAGGCAGGTTTGTGCCACTTTGGCTGTAATCGTTTCGCAGACATTTTTAAACTGACCAAATTCAAACGCGGTCCCACGAATAAGTTAAACAACGAATAGAATACTAAGTTCTTCACCTCTGCTTTTGATATTGATGACGTATGACAAGAGTTCTATTTAGCAATTTCACTTTAGTAGTAAGAAAAACGTACCTAATTAATTTAAAACTAATTCAACTATATTCGTTTATAAACTCTTCCTAATCGATAGAAATAATAAATTTGAAAAAATCTTAAATTTTTTTGCGTTAAATTTATTTTATAATAATTTGTACTCATGAATATGTTTAATTTTGGTAGCGGCAAAGCGTACTCTTCTGTACAAGATTTCTTTTTATTATAACGACTAGTAGCTGTTAAAGTTTTCATATAAATGAACTCATAATCAATAAATCAGCTCATTAAAGGTGAAAAATGTCGAATGGAACCCTTAAGAATAAATTTCCCACAAGGGATATTAACAAAGTTTGAAATATGTGTCTTATGCTTTGTATGTAAAATGTAAACAAACAGCTGAGCTGTAAATAAAGTGATTGAGGTATATATATAAATGATATATATATCAAGAATATATATATGTGTTAATACATCAATTACATATTTAATTTTTTGTGTGATAAGCGAAGTCTTTCTCACGCAAAAAGTAACAAATGTGAATGAAAACGACAAAATCCTTAAGTTACTTAAGTAACTTATTAAGAAAGCAAGGGAAATATGGTATAACTAAATTAACAATAAATAATGGAAATTATCAATTTTGGACACACGAAATATAATCTTAATAAACAAAAAACACAAAAGCCAAAAAACAACAATTTTAAAAAATTATTTTTATAAATATATATTATACACAAAATTTTTTGCATTTTCTTCATAATAAATTAATTAATTTTAACTAACTATACAAGACTAAAAATTTTCTGCTAACAATTTATTTGTTAACAAATAAAATAACTTTCTGACACATAAAAGGTCTTTCACATACATAAATCAACTTATGACAATGGAAACGACCTAATACTAATTTGATTAACATAAATTGATTTAGCTTTGATATGCGCACACTTCTCTAAAACTGATTAAATGATTCTTATTGTGCACAAAATTAATATAATTACCAGACAGCAGCTACTTAAATTCTACCTAAATATGGAAATGCTAGTAAAATTTTTTATCAGAGGTATGTCGTGTACGATATGTGAAGACGAACAAAAAACTTAAAATAAATTAAAGATAAAAATTTTAAGCCAACATGTTTAATTCTTATTCAAGACTAGTTACATTTTTTTACATTTGTCAAAACTATTTAATAAAACGTCAGTGTATATTTTGAGGTTTCTCAAAATATGAAATAGGTCGTGAAGCAATCATATATACTGGATACAAGCCTTTTGGAAAACTTTGTTGTCTCGTTATGCGCAGTATCCGAAATTCTGCTAAACGCAGTGTGTCTTCGTATACTTTTAAGGGACGTGTTACAGATGAGTCTTGTTCGTCTTTTTCTACTTCTTTAGTAGATGTTACGTTTTCTTTGATTACAAAATAACCTCCTTTAGCTAATCCAATCCGAACACGCTGAAAAAAAGTTAACAAATCTTCATCGGTTAGATGCCCAAGTACCCACTGACTCCATATTAGATCGTATTTGTTACAATCTGGAGTAAACATTTGCAAGCCAACATTGTATATAGTTCCAAGCCGATTAGGAAAACCTAAAGTGTTTCCCGAATCCATTGTGCAATACTCCTTCGCTTTGGTAGCAAATGCGCTATCTTGTTCAACAAGATCTACCACATCAAATCGAGGCATCAATAAATTTTTTGTTACACGTCCTATACCAGCACCGCAATCTAAAGCGTATTTGGTGCCTAACGTTTTTAAGTCTCTAAGAAAATTACCAGAGCTTTGTATATCAATTGCGCTTATATAGCCCATTCCTCCCAACATTCCATTTACTGTCGCCGGAACTTCTGACCAATACTGTTGAGCTCTCTTGTAAAAATCTTTGTCCAAACTACAGTTGGAAGATATGTCACACTCTACATCAACTTCTGTGTGAATGCTCTCCATATCCGTATCCATTTTTATGATTGTGTAATTGAAAATTCTAAAAACGGTCCTAAAACGTATCCATAACTATTTACACACAAAAAATAATGTAAACTTTAAAAACACATGAAATCAAATTTTTTGACAATTAGCTCAATGTTGTATTTTTCTAATTCATTGCAGAGGTGTACAAATCAAGCAAAATTCAGAGATGCCATGCGTTTTATTCAGTTATGTAGAATTCGTTTAATATACAATAAAAATGGGTTACGGTAGCAGATATACGCATAGAATATGAAAATTTTAGCTATAAATTTATTTTTCGTTACATTAACTATAAAAATTTATTGTTATGTTTTTATAAATACGACTCTCTTTGTAAATTTCGATGACTTTGTTACTAGGTAGCCACAAATAATTCGTGATTTTGTAAACTACAAAAACCATAATATATAATATAATATATATATTATGTATCAAATATGTGTAACATACATTCGTTAAGCTTCGTTAACGATTCTAAATGCAATTTGTACTTCACAGGCATGTTAGCGTCATGCTTGATTTTTCTGCACAATAAATATATGAGTGTTCATTTTATGACTTACAACCTGCTTCTATGAAATGATGCGAGTGTAACGCTTATTATTATATAAAACATTTTTTCTTTTTTTTTTTGTTAGACGTATGATCTATTACCCTTGTTAATATTATTAAAATATAATCCATTATTTCTTAATGTGCTTATGACAAGGACGTTTAATATTAAACAATTTTTTATATATATTGTAAGATATATGTGTAGTAAATAGTATGTGAATTGAACTTTTAATTACTTTTGCTATTAATTTTTCTCAAGTTTTTAAATATTGATTAATTAACTTATAAAAACAAAAAACTTCTTTTTGTCATTGACACTTTGAAGGCATGTATTATTTGAACGATGATTACTGTTAGGATAATAAATACATACCACTTTAATATATATGTACCACTTTTTGCTAGAAAAAATATGATACAACCACAATGTGTGTCTATTTACACATGTTTTAACATATCCAACCATATTCTTAATATAATGATTGACTTTTACTTACCTACTTACTGCTGTCATTCTCTCTCAGTGAAGGATAGGGCCTCTAGAAGATCTTTACCTTCTACTAGAACTAGTTTTCTCATTGGAAATTTGACTTATCATATTCAACAAAGTATTTCACAGAAAAGTGAAATTTGCTGGATACAAAGTTTTTTGTTTCTTAACATGTGTTTCTTATCTATCTGAGCTGATAATTTTTCTATTTTCACTTAATCTATATATTATAAATTTATTTCAACAAGTTATTACTCTCACATTTAATATGTTAATAAATTAAATATTGTATAAAAACAAAATATTGTTTTTTAAAAACAGTTTTCGTGAATTTAATGCTCGTGAGAACTCTCAGCGTTATATATACTTGTTAAATTGAATATTTATTTTAAAAAAATATATACTAATATATTAAGAGATGTAATCTTTAAATATTTCGACCAAAAAACAAATAAAACAAAAACTGTTTCCAACAAATTATATATTATGTATATCAATATTGCCATTTTTTTCAATTTTTGATTGTACGCCAAATATGACTACATATTTATATAATAATCACAATAATAATATATTATTTATAAACAAATTTAATTTTCATTTTGCTCTTTATAGTTATAATACCATATATACAAATAATAATTATAATATATACAAATACTTGTTTTTATCCATCATATTTATAATAGCATAAATATATGTTATTATTTGTTTGTTATGTAAAGTACTTTTTAAATATTAATTGCCTGGCAACTCTGGCCTGTCATTATTCTATATTCTTTTTGTAATTATTATTCATTATTCATTTTTAGTATAGTTAATAAAGCGAAGTAAAGAACATGTTAAAAATACATCGGACCGTGTTTCACTTTTGCTAAAAATATATAATAGGTTATGGGCCCAGCACGCTTCCACTGCGAAGTAAAAAGCACGTGCACATAAAAAGTAGATTTAATACGTGTATACAAATGTCGGGAACGGTGATTCGAGTTGAACCGCTTAACGCGGAAAACTACGATACATGGAAATTACAAATGAAAGCTATTCTCATAAAAAACGATTTATGGTCATATGTCGAAGGTACTGCGTCGTGTCCAACGGGCGAAGCGGCTGCAAAATGGATCAGCTTTGATCAGAAAGCGTGTGCTGATATAATGTTATCAGTAAGTGCATCAGAATTAAGATTAATTGCAGAATGCACAAATTCAAACGAAATGTGGATGAAACTACAAGCCACATATTCATCAAAAGGGCCTGCGCGCAAGGCGACGTTGCTGAAAAAGGTTGCACTTTCGCGCATGAAGGAGGGTGAAAAGGTTAGAGAGCACCTCAACGATTTTTTTGAAGCCGTGGCAAAATTAAAGGAAATTGACGTCACCATCGGGGATGAGCTTCTGGCCATACTGCTCCTATATAGCCTACCCGACTCTTTTAATACTTTCAGGTGCGCGCTAGAAACGCGCGACGAGCTGCCAAAGCCAGACATACTTCGAGTGAAAATATTAGAAGAAGCTGAATCGCAAAGGACAAAAGAAGACAGACATAGTGATGAAAACTCTCTATACATAAATCGAAATAAA